CTACCTTGAGATGCTCTTATTTGTAACCAATTACGGAGACCCATCGAAAAAAGAATAAGGCGGTAGATATTTCTCAAAGGACTTTAATTTGTTGCTAAAAAACATGAGTACCATTCGTAATTAAGATGTTGTCAATCAATATAGTATGCATTTGTCTACATATTTTACTTCGTTTAGAATTAGCAATTGCAACTATATTTTAAAGTGCATTATGTAACATACACTGTTTTTTCGTTCATATTTGTGTCGAACATTTGTACCACGGTAGCTATATCTGGTGCATCACTACTACAACAAGATTCGCTTGTGCTTTCGCTCCTGGTATAATAAATTGACCAATAACGAAATAAGTTAATGGTTAACAGCCATTGTTGCCTTATATAACAATATAATATAAAACATTACATTATATCTCTAAAAAATAGATTTATACTAGATTAACATAAGATTGCTGGCAAAGCAATGAGTGCACAGCATGTAGAATCAACAAAACGCAGGTACCAGGCTTATATAGCGTATTGTCTACACAAAGAATGTAATTCAAGTACGAACTGAAAAAGCATTGATATAAACAGACTGTTACATCAATATCAATATTGGATATATACCCTTACATCATATACCTAAAAAAAATATATACACTCGATGAAAAACATGACTGCTTTAACCGCTACACTTAGTAGTCGTTGGTAAAATTTTACCTATTAAAAATTGTAGATCCACAAGAAGTTCAGTATTGATGATAAACATGATAAATGAACTTGTAAATAGCCTACATTTCAAAAACTTGTAACTTGAAATCATAACAAAAACCAAAAAATAAATGGTGCTGGACAATTTCAGGTGATCTTTATTTTAACATCGAAAATAAAATTAATTATAACATTTATTTTACCTGCTAATAACCTCGATTTCGTTTTACTTAACATAATCATTTAAAGTTAATTTGATTTAATTTCAGACCTAAAGAAGATTACAGTGTTGAAAAAGATGCTTATACTCGGTGAAGTTCTAGCATATTGTCAGCGATATCGAAGATCGAAGATGGTTCAAATCTAGATATAACTTATGTTGCGTTTGTATCGTAGCCGTAGAGTTCTTGGTCCCATGTTTTATTTTTTCTTTTAATCATTGATGTGCATTTCATATTCATACTCTTGTTCGTTACTTATCTTGTTGGAATATCTGTTAATATCATTGTTTTGTTTTTATATTTATGATGATGTACAGCCCTTTGTTTATGTGTTTTTACCTGGTCTTGGCAATGTGTAAAAATAACTTCAACTGTAAAGATCTATTGGTTTGCATTAATAAGTGTGCATATCATGGCGCTGCTATATGTGCAATTTGTCTTCTTCGTCGATTGAACAGTCACATCATCGGAAAAGTCTGTGCAATAAATAAGTTATTCATTTTCAGTCAATTCATTACTTTTTGGTAGCTTTTCAGAACATTCAGTATGAAGTTGATGTGTCCATGTAAATAACAAAATCGGAACAGTTAATAATAGACTGAATAGATTTTAGTTGACTACCGGCGAGTTTTCTGAATAGAAATGGTGTTAAAGCAGTGGAGAGGTTTACAAATTGACGGAAAAACAAACAATGACTTAATAATCTAATGTTCAGTATGTTAAGAGCTGTCACTTATAATACTGCTTCTTTTAATACTGTCACTACATTAAATACCATAATATAATATTTATAGGACAACTGTATAGTAAGTGAAACTTTGTGGACGTCAATAAGACATTTTATTTTCGAAAATTCAGTTAAACGACTAAAAATCTCAAATACAAATATTGATCCAAACCATTCAAATTAACATAATTCTAATGTTTACAATGCTCCTTTTAATGGTTGGTTACATTATTCGTCCGCTGAATAATATTCCCTTTCCCTGAGGGCAAGATTAAGCTGGTCTAATATAGTTTTATTTCAAAGAATGGTACAAGAAAAAAATTCCTTATTTCTTGAATTTTCAAAACAATCTGGTGTCTTTGCCGAACAATTTGACATTAATACTACACCGATGTTTTTTTAAAGAATGAACTCTTCTACATGCAAGTTCTTGCGCTAAACAGCAAGTCAAAAAGTAAACATTCATATTTATACCACATCTCAGCTTAAGGTCTCGTCATTTCATCTCGGCTTTCAGTAAGTGTTCTACAACTTTTACCATGCTGATATGTTTTCTAGCTATAAAACCAGGTTTAATCCACCATTTTCTACAATAGAAAATGCCTTTACCAAGTCAGGAATATGGCAGTTGTTGTCAATTCGTTTGATGTGTTTGAGCTTTTGATTTTGCCATTCAATTAGGGACTTTCCGTTTTGAATTTTCATTGGAGTTTAGTATTTTTGTGATTTTACATTTTTTCGATAAATAATAAGGAATTCCCAAAATATTCTTCTCATTTTCCTAGATTTAAGTTTCACAAAGGATATATATGCTACAACAATGTTAAAAGGGATAATTTTTCGTTTATTTTTGTAAATTTGAATTTTTTTGGAAGGTGATGTTCCTTAAGCTCCTTCTAGCGGTTGTATATACCCCAACCCGCTAGCTATGCAGGTGTCTGAAGTGACGTTAGATATTAAAATTAATTTAATCTATCTATCACTGATAAACAAATAAGTCAGAAATTAATCACCACAGATTACTCAATAAAACGTTCACTTTATTCTTTTATATATGCAGCTATATGGTTTGGGAGATCGTCTGTTCCTGTAGAAAACTTAAGACTTAAGGGGTATTACCCTTGTTTTGGCGTTGATGTTGCTTGATATACAGTTAATTTAGAAACGTCTAGTAATCATTCGGTCCTCTGAAACATCGTGCTCTAAACGGTTATCAATTAAACACTTAGATAAGATCTTTGCATATTACTTTTTTTGATATAATATTGATTGTGTGATCAATAAAATAAAATATAAATCAATATGAATTTCTATGCAGTTATAACTAGTTACGTTTCTACATCCTTACGATAGTTATATGTTGACAAGGTTATGTTTGTGATTATGTTTATTTGTTATTGGCTATGAACAGGCTTTCAGTAACTTCGAGCACTCTCAGATCGGTTCTTAATGCGTGTTCACGTGTTGTGATGTTGCATCATTGTTCCCAGTTAGATGGAGGGTTTTTCATATATATGTCTGAAGGCAATCAGATAAATTGAAATATTAACGAAACAAACGTTCTTATTTTACACTTGATTATTTATGAACTATATTTAAAAACAATTGTAGATATCAATAATTATGCAAATACCAAGGAGGAAATTATATAATTTGATCATTTTTATAACAAGTGTGATATAATATCGTTTACTCAGTCCAAGAAAACAGTGTACACGTATCATAACAGTTTTGTCACAAAAGACTTTTCCCTAGTACGTTACAGACAATTCATTAATTTGTCCAGTATTTTTGTTGACTCTACTGTTCAAATCTGTATAACTCTATATGTTGACATCATAGAGATACCTATAATTTCTTGTACGTGTACACACAAATAAGAAATTTAATGTTTTTAATATATGTCAGTAACATCAGACGTCAGATAAGAAAGACAACAATGCTCCTTCAACACTAACCAATATAACACATCAAAGTTTAGATATTATCCATATTGCAGTGTCATTACAGGAGACCTCATTTTCCAAAAAAAAAAAGACAAAACATATCAGTTATTGCTGAAAATTAATTTAAAACAATTTGTCTTTAGTCTTTCGTTTTGTATATTGGGTTCTGTGTAATGTTGGTTGCTTTTATGGCGTATTTTGTTGTTTTTTTTTTGTGTGTTTTCTTTTGCCGTGGCATTGTCTGTTTGACACTCCCTTTAGTATTTTCACCTCTCTTCTAAAAAATGAAATAATAGATTATTTTACACCCAAGGCCATGCACACCACAGGGAGACAACTGGTCAATACCATATGTCATACTAAGCCACCATCTTAATATTTGAAAGTCCCTAACGTATATTGACTATATAAGCTACACCAGAAAAAAGTCATTTTTTCATATCGGTTTTAAACAAATGTTTAGCAACTAATTTTTCTGTGCTACAAATAAGTTATTGTACTTGTATTTGTTGTTAAAACTGCATTCGACAATAAGGGAATATATTTTTTGAAGTGTCTAACAATCTTTTGATATTTTTGATAAATTACGTGCTTAAGATGGTATTTTCAGTTCGGTTGATACTCAAAACTTTTCGACTATTGCACTGTATAATGAATGCTAATCTGAAAAAGAGGGATATTCCAACTCATGAGTCGAAAAAAACTGACAGCACCATGACTAAATAAGAAAAAAAAAGACAAACAGACAAACAATATTACACAAACGGTCATTTTGATCTTAACATAATCTGAAAAATATAAACAATGAATAATACAGTAATGGTCAGTCTTTCGGTCAATTTTATGATTCAAGAATTAACCACTGCTGTTAATTCAGAACCGTTCACAAAATTCGCTTGCTAGAAATTTAGAACTGTTCATTTGTTTTTCAGTATGCTGTTGAACTGCCGGAAAATAGTTTGAACAGATTTCAGTTGACCGCAAGCACATTAATGAACCACTCTGAATTATCACAGTAGATACATTTAAAAATTGACTTAAAGACTGAAAATGTGTTCAGTCATTAAGAGCTGTTCAGATTAAAATGACCATTCAGATTAAAATGTTGTCCTTGTGTATGCAATACACTACTATACAGTCTGGTCAAACAAACGTTATCTTATTTTTTTGATTTGGCCACTTATTTTTGACAGTTCATATATTAAGGCATGGATTTGTAACCATAAATCAATTTCAAGCAATATGAGCACGAAAATGCAGAAATTGTGTTATTTAAATATACTTTCATTTAAAAATTTTGAAAATTGTTATAAAAAATCTCCCTCGTAGTTGTTTGCTTGGTTTTTGTTTAACATGTTTAACTTTTTGTCCTATTTGGTTTGATCAAGTCGTTAATTCTTAAGTGCCAATCTGTCTAAGGATCAGGCAGTGGCCCAAACAGGATAGTCTCAGATTTTGATGAAAACTTGCACAAATCATCTGTAAAATAAGTTATAAAAAAATACTTTTCGGACCAATTCAATATGGTTGATATGGAAACAAAGCCATTTGATTATTTCAAAGCCACAAGTTATTGAGATAAGCATTAAACTCACAGTTTTTCACTATTTCAGTGTCATGAAAACTGCTGTTCATATAAAATCTAGTATTTCTAGATTGTACAGATGGATGCAGTCTTAACCTGTACAGCAAGTTAACTTGATAACCAGTCAAAATCTATATAGCCGCATAATAATTCAATATTATTTTTATGTCAGGATGTATTGTATAATACGAATGACAGCAATATTGGAACACAATGAATACAAAATTTTGTCCGCATACATTTAGAGTGCCAGCATGTTCTCCTTTTGTTCAATTTTTTGATACTTAACAAAATTTCAGTAGTTTTGATACCTCAGGCTGACTTGTACAACACAATTATATGACCGCATCAACCAAAACTGACCATATTTGCACTTTAGTATGTAAATCTATATAGCCGCATAGTAAATCAGCAATATTTTTATGTCAGAATAGAATGTATAATACAAATGACAGCAGTATTAGAACATAATGACTACAAAATGTTTGTCCGACTAAGTTAAGAGTGCCAGCATGTCCTTTTTTTATTCAAAATATTGATACGTAACAAATTTCAGTAGTTTTGATATCTCAAGCTGTCTCATATAGCAAAATTATTTGACCGCATCAACCAAAACTGACCATATTTGCACTTTATTTTGTAAATCTATTTAGCTGCATAGTAAATCAGCAATAGTTTTATGTCAGGATTGAATGTATATTACAAATGTCAGCAATATTGGAACACAATATGAATAACTACAAAATTTTGTCCGGTTAAATTCAGAGTCCCAGCATGTCCTCCTTTTTGTTCAATATACATGATATATTGATACGTAACAAAATTTCAGTAGTTTTGATACCTCAGGCTGACTCGTATAGCAAAATTATTTGACAGTATCAACCAAATCGGACTATATCTGCACTGTAGTATGTAAATCTATATGGCTGCATTAAAAATCAGAATTTTGTTTTATGTCAGAATGGATTGTATAATACAAATGAAAGCAATATTGGAAAAGAATGAATGCAAAATCTTTTCCGCATCAATTTAGATTGTCAGCATTTCATCTCTGTATTCATAATATTGAATTGTCAAAAAAGTTCGTAGTTCAGGATGGTGTGTATAACAAAACTATGTGACCGCATCATCCAACACTGACATGTATGCTTTCATTTGTACTTTATAATGAAAAGTATAAGAAGTTCTCTTCTTGGAATAGTATACTGTTAGTATATTATGTCGGTTTATTGATTTGTTTGTAGCTAAACATCAAGTGGCAACTATTTCATTCATGTGCACAACGAGTATATTTTTCGGACGTCCCATATATCATTTATAATCGGTAAAGACAAATCTGACGAAATTGACGAGATTGTTCATAATTATACACCATCTTATGTATCCGGACACTGTACCATTTTCGTTAGAATATTTTGTCGAAAACAGAATCGTAAATCTTAGGCAAACAAGGTGAATTACGATGAAATATCCATGTAATGCATAAAGTTAAATTTAGGAAGAGACTGTAAAAAATGGGGAACGAAACAATGATGTTAATATCCCATGATTAATTATTAAAATTATTGTTCCGATGCGTTGGATAACCTTTCTATCCGCCTTCTAATTTAAAAAGAATTTTGCATTTCTTTTATGATAGCTGTATGTGATCACAAATGTGTAATTTTATAGCCATTGTTTAATGTACATAAGAATACGAAATGAGAAAAAAAAAAAAATTTTATTTTTAATGTGTATAATATCTATAGAGTCTAACGAGTAAAGAATTTGCTATACTGGGAAAAAAGAACAATGCGATTATTTTTTACATAATAAAAGCTCAGGTCTAATATGAAAAGTCTTAAACACGGTAATCTGTCATAAGCAGACCTGTCCTCAGGTCTGGTCAGTAGCACACTTGTCCACAGGTCTGGTCAGTAGCATACCTGTCCACAGGTCTAGTCAGAAGCAGACCTGCCCACAGGTCTGTTCTGGGGCAAACCTGTCCTCAGAACTGGTCAAAAGCAGACTTGTCCACCTGTCAATAGGTCTGCAGCAGTCCTAAAAAAGCAGACCGTAGGTCTGCAGCTCTTTTCACAAAAAATCTTAAGAGTAAAAATACTCTTAAGTCATACACATTTCAGTATAACTTACGATCAATTTTAATCGTAAGATTTTTTTGTGAAAAGAATCGCTGGTCTACAAACGACGAAGTAAACTTGCTTGTCTGCTTAAAATTTCTCAAGTTAACTTGGAAAGCAATCAACAAGTCTGCTCCAAGTTAATTTTTGTACAGGTTAGGACTGCACCCATCTGTACTGCAACTTTTTTAGCTATCAAATATTCTTGAAGAACAGCTGTTTTGATGAAGTTCTATTTCATTCTAGAAATTTTGGGGTACGGATGTTCTCCACGGACCATAATGTCGAAAAAACCCAAACAAGACCACATATTTTATATTACCAGAACAGCACATGCATGGTGTTACTAAATATGGTTTTTCCAAATATTGAGTAACCATAGCAACAAAATCAACCCTATAGCAACAAAGCTAAAAAACAAATTGTAACACATGTATTTGATATTTGAGTCTAAATGCATATATATGGACCAAGTATGATTCATTTAAGCTATTCACATTAGAGTGTTGCCAATTGTTCCCATTTTCACCCGGAAAGTATTACATAGCAACCAAAAAATATCCTTAGCAACAAAAATGAACAAACTAAATTTTTGTGTATACAAAAATATTCTCCAGTGGAAAAGCTGACAATTAAGTGGCCAGATATCAATCATTTCTATATAAAATTAGTAAATTAAACAATATCTACATTGCATTAATAACAACTTAAACCTCCTAGTAACAAAATAGATTCTTTGCATGCCAATGCATAATATTTTGTGATTGGTTCTCATTATCCCCTCACTAATAACTAATAAACAGTTGTATGCATACATATATAACTAATAAAGGAGGATATTTTAAAAAGTTGCCCATTGTTGGTGTGAGCTTACTTCTTTTACCAGATTCATATTGGTTTGAGACCAATCATTATAGTCACCGACACTATCATGCTTTAAAATTTTTATTGCCACTTGGTGGTTTTTGTTTAAACAAAGGATCTGTATGACAACCATAAATACTCCTTAGCAACAGTAAAGTATGCATATTCCACATTCTTTCTATCAAAATTATAGGCTGTTACATGTATTAAAATTATACAAATTTTTATGTTAAATGATTTAATATTGAGTTGCTATCAATATTTGAAAATTGACCGCAACTAAAAAACTTAACGTTGACCTTAAAATCATGAAAATGAGGTCAATGTCAGATAATACAGACTTCACAGATATATACACCTTGCAATCATTCCAAAGATTGCACCAAATAGTTTAACCTATTGCTTACAGTACTCGAACAACAGACCAAAAACCTACAAAAAAAACATTGACCAATGAACCCTGAAAATGAGATCAATGTCATATGAAACCTGCCAGACTGACATGTACTCCCTATAATTATTCCATACACCAAATGAAGTTAACCTATTGCTTAGAGTACTTGTAAGAAAACCAAAACACGAAAACTTATCATTGACTTATGAACCATGAAAATGGGGTCAAGGTCAGATGGAACCTGCCAGATCTAGACTGACATCCATCCCTAACAATCATTTCATACATCGCACATAGTTGACCTACTGCATATAGTATAAGAGAAATGGACCTATTCATGTAACTTTAACCTTGATCACTGATCCATGAAATGAGGTTGAGGTCAGGTGAACCCTGTCTGATTGCCATATAGACGTAGCAAGTAACCCATATACCAAAAAGAGTTATCCTGTTACTCATAATACGTGAGAAAATCACATGACCCAAAAACTAAAAAAAAAGAATCAATCAGTCGCTGAACCATGGAAATGAGGTCTAGGACATTGGGCATATGACAGACGGAAACTTTGTAACATAAGGTATCTGCAAACAAGCTCTTCTTTTTTATATGAAGAATTCAGGTCTTCTGCTTTATAATATATAAAGCTTTATACAAATAGTTGACCCTGCCACTGTTGGATAGTAATACCTTTGTCTTGCATACTGCGACTTTTGTAGCAGGCGAGACAAAAATGTATGGCATAATAAACATGCAACATTTTTCAAAAAGAGAAAACAATTAATTGCACAGATTATTGCATTCATTTACTATAATGTTTTCAAAAATAACTGACCAAAATTAGAAATTAATTATTCCCAAGTTTTTGGTGGGGTTCCTGTTGCTTAGTCTTTGGTTTTCTATGTTGTGTCTTGTGTACTATTATTTGTCGGTTTGTTTTTTTCTGTTTTAACCATGGCGTTGTCAGTTTATTTTCGATCTATGAGTTTGAATGTCCCTCTGGTATCTTTCGCCCCTCTTATATTCTTATCATTGAGATACTCAACCAATCTCTACATTCAAATGTTTTTAAAAACCTCTGTCTCATACATGTAATGCCTGAATTTACAGTATTGAGATTGTTCAGAGTCTTCTTATGTTTATCATGTCTAATCATGGTATCTGTCATTCAGATTAGGTATATCTGTTCTTTAGGTTAAATACGGCTATGCAATTTCTCCATGAATAGAGGCTACGGTGTCATTCTTCATCTCAGATGGTCAATTTGAAGGCACGTTATTTCCTTATGTTCATTCGCTACAAACATTTTGATCTTCATACTCAAGTGCGCAATATTGGCATCACAATATGATGAGCTTCATTGAACTTTGCTGTAGTCGAATCTTTTAATCACCAATCCTGCAATCATATGAAATTTCAGTAAAAATCTAAATAAATATAATAGCAATTTATTTACAGTTAATATTGATAATTTCAAATTCATGGAATCATTTTGGTTGAATGAAATATAAAAGATTG